GGAAAGTATATACAAGAAATCTTGGGGGTATAGAGGAAGAAGGAACTCAAGAGAGGGTGGATAATAGGAGGAAAACTTATCAAGAAGAAAATGGGGAGAATGTGGGTACTTAGACTAGAGAGGGAGGAGGAAGGTTAGATAGAGAGAGGGGGAGAGAAAAGTAAAGCTTAGATGGAAATGCATTAACTCAAAAACTCCTTGAAAATACACATAACACACATATAATATTTTGACATGAGTGAAGGTTATATGTCAAGAAAACAGTGCCAGACAGGAGAAACCTGACTTTGAGTGGTTGGTCAGGGAACCACTGACCAATCCAAGAGATTTCCAAAATATTACAGGATATTGTCACACCCCTTGATTATGTTCTAGAACTTGATAATAATGCCATATTGCTTAAGACAGGACATATTTTGACACAGAGCAATGTAATTGGGACTGACCTTGAAGCCTCCTCCCTAAAGACTACTGTCATAGTTCTAGAGAATGAAATGCAAGCTACTAAGGGAGAAAATCAGCCCAGCTGGAAATCCTAATAACCACAATGACTGGCACAGCGAACTATATTGTTGTAGTAGTGGCACTTTTATCTAAGGGGTAATCAATAGCTGTTGCAAAAATCTGGACTTAATGTCCTCACAGTGAGAGGAAACTCATGGGTAGCACTGTAAATATACCCAAATGCACATAGTGGGAGAGGTCATAGATCCTAGAGAAAACACTATCTCTGTCCTATCTTTAGGCAAATGAAACTTCTTACTCTATGCTAAATATAGATCCTCATATTTGCAGACAAGTATACCATACAGCACTCAACAATGAAGCTTCTTTTTCCAAAAGATGGCAGGTATTACAGAGTTCTACAACTGGTCACAACAGAGAATATATGCCTAGGAGATGCCCAGCCTTGAGTGAAACATCTACAGTGGAACCCCTACACCCAAGGCTTATGAAACATAGCAAAACATGGAATACAGAGAATGCTTATACATCCCTCAACTCTCACAAGTGTCGCTTCCTCATACAACAGAGTACGATGCACACAGACAGCCACAACTGGCCAGTTTTTAGAGAATGAGAGCTTGCATGCTGAATCATTTCCCTGGATAGGACAACTATATTAAACTTCACCCACCGAGGGCTAAGGGACCATTATAGAAGAGGGGGCAGAAACATTGTAGGAGTCAGGGTTGGTGCTTGAACATAAGGAAACAGAGGTTTTCAGACCTCTGGGAACTTGCACTTTTGAACTTGCAACAACAGTGTCAGCATTCACAAGACCCAGGCCAAGTTAATCAGACAAAAACCCAACATAGAACTGGGGAAATGGGCAGCAGGCCCCAACCTTAACTGAGGACCTGTTGGCAACTGTTTACTGTGGCATGAGGGAGAGCAGATCTTCTTTAAGGGAGTGACTCTAGATAGACTCACTAGACTCCAGTGAATGAGCTTGCTTACATGAGGGACAGATGCTTGACCTGATAGGACTTAACATATATGACATTCCCACTAGCAGCGAATGAGCATTCATCTTGATTTTAGTCATTCTGACAGGAGTAAGATGGAATCTTAAAGTGATTTGATCTCCGTTTTCCTGAATACTAAGTATGTTGAGTACTTTTTAAGGTGTTTTTTAACTGCTTTCTTCTTCATTTGTGAACTCTCTGTTGAGGTTATAGCCTATCATTTTTGGGTAGTTTATTTTCTTATTTCTTTCTTTTTTTTTTTATTCTTTGTATATTCTGGATACTTATCCTCTCTCAGATGTGTTGCTGGTAAAGATGTTCTCCCACTCAGTGGGTTTCTTCTTCTCTTCCTTGGTTGTTTCTTTTGCTGTACAGAAGCTTTGTAGCTTAATGAAATCCCACTTACTGATTGTTGAATTTAAGGCCTGAGCAGCTGATGTCTGATTTAGAAAGAAGTCCTTTCTTATGTCGATAATTTGGAGGGTACTGCCCATGTTTTCTTCTAGCAGCTTCAGAGTTTCATGTTTTATACTGAGGCCTTTGGTCCATTTGGAATTGACTTTTGTGTAGGGTGAAAGATTGGTCCCAATTTAATTCTTCTACAGATGGAGATCCAATTTTGCTAGAGCCATTTGTTGAAGATGCTGTCTTTCCTCCATTGTGTGTTCTTGGCACCCTTGTCAAATATCAGGTGGCTGAAATCACACGTACTCACATTTGGGTCTTCTATTGTTTTCCAGAGACTTACATGTCTATTTTTGTATTTTTTAAGATTTGTTTTGGGTCCCAGAATGTGTTCAGTTTTAGGAAAAACTTGCATAGGCAGCTGAGTAGAAAGTGTATTTATTCTTCGGTGCTTGGGTGGAATATTCTGTAGATGTCTGCTAGGGCCATTTGATGTAAGATGTCTTTTAATTCAGATGTCTCTCTGTTTCTTATTTGTCCAGTTGACCTGTCTATTGAAAATTGTGGAGTATTGAAGTCACCTACTATTACTGAATGGCAGTTTGTCTGTTTTATTATCCTGGAGTAGTATTTTAAATTTTGATCAATGATTCAATATCATGGAAAACAGGACCTTTGATACTTAACAGCCTTATTTCGTGAATCATTTTGTAAAACCGAACATGCTACTTCAAAAACAAGTATTTTTCAAAAATGAGATTATTAAACTAAGGAGAAAAATTAGTGTTAAAATATCTGTTCTCCCAATTGTCCATTTAAATTTCTATTGAATTTTTTGAAACATTCCCATAAGCCCATGGTTCTCACATATTTCTACATTAACTTATGGTATCATTTATTGAAATAGCCTCAACACTATGTCCAAATATGAAAGTGTACATAGCTCACCACATTATTGTCTCTCCACCTCTAATTTACTATTTTGACTGATTGTTCATGCAAATCTCCATTTGTATACCAAAATGTTCTTTCTGCTATTGTACAGGTAACCAAGCTTACCTGTCCTGTATCTGCCCTTTGTTTTTAAATTCTGGTGAAACATAAATGCAATGACGATAGGATGTTTTAATATTCTCTTCTCATATATCATGATCTATCCTCCAGATAAAGTACCTTCACAAATATCCCTAAATAGAGATATTAGAATATCAGTATTCATGTTCCTGTGCAAATGTTACCAAACCTGTAAATCAAAGTGTTCCATTAATCCTTAGTCTGCATTTTATCTTATCTATAAATGTCAGCTGTTCAGTATATTTTGACTATGGTTGGATATATTCTTCTTCTTTCTTATTTTTCAACAAATGTTTGTTGATTACTCTTAGATATCAGCTGCTCATTATTTTTATTATGTAAAATGTTTTAGAGACTAGTTAAAACATATTTTTCAGTTTCAGAAATTACTCGTAGTCTCTAAATGCTACAGGTAGAGAAGGTTCAGGAATGCTTTTAATGTGGACCTTTTCCCATGAAGTCAGGTCAAGAAATGCTTGCTCTACAATAGAATACTGGTTTTACTGTTTCATGGAAATACTACTCAATTCTTAAAGGTAAATCAAGATTTATTAAGTTATATATTTCAAATGTCAGATAATATAACACATATATTCTCTGGAGGAGTACAGTGGCGATGTAAATAATATGCTATAGAAAATCTCAAATGCTCTTCTGCTCACAAACAGGACTTTAGTCTTCATTGGTAGTAAGCCCAGCTACAGAAGCTGGTTTCATATAAATTGCAGTTAGCTAATATTCTCTGTGGTACAAATTGGGTAATTATATTAGCTCCATCTCATGTTATACCCATATTAGAAACAATGATCTGTTTGCACTGCAACAAATAATATTTTGTTATTGGTAATAGATGTGACATACATGCAAATGGGCTTGCCCCTCTTCCTCTCAAATCCATATTGCTTAAAAATTTATTTGTTTCCACTTACTTTTCTTTCTTTTTCTGATATTAACAAATAAGATTTCTTTCCTTGGAATGGGAAGATATATATATGAAGGGTGATGGGTTGGTGATCTGGGCTTCTCTTGATTGTAACCCAGGAACAGCAGAGCCCTCAGCTGAGATACCTGCACAGGCATACACACCCCCACACCCACCCCCAGCCCCACACCCACCCAGGAACACCATGAAGAATCACATGTTGCCACTTTGGTAGAATCCTCAACACACATAGTATTTTTCAAGTTTTGCATTTGAAATATTGGTAACTAAAATAGAATGCCATGGAAATGGGATCCAAAATAAAAATTCTTTTAGTTTTCTATTTTGTCTCTTTAGTTAAGGTATTTGGTGATGAATTAAAAGTGAGCATTCTTGGGGTTTTCTATATTTTCATTAATATTCTGATGGATGCTAAGTCTATCTCTAAATTTCAGAGAAAATTTGATGGAGATCATTATATGGGAAGTTGAAACATATTAGCTATTCCTTCTTTGTGTACACTATGATATAGGAATATTTAATTTCACCTGGTACATCAATAATTCATACTTCTACTTTTCTCTCTGCTACTTTTTGGTAGGATATGCTAATAAGCACATCCTTAACACAGAATAATAAAGAGGGTACCTTCAACTTTGTAGGAGAGGCAAAAAAGTTTTTGGTTCACACCCTGTTGTTTGTTGATTAAAAGAATAAAATAAGACTGTTTATGAAATCATTAGTTAAAATGTGAATGATTTCCATTCCTCAAAGATTAAGCTCAATTTCCAACAGTTAGTTTACTATTATAAATACATGGTAAATAGTTAAATTTTTCACTCATTTATTGAGTGTTAGAGCATCAAGCACTCATTTGATTTTTAATGTGTGTGCATTGAAATAAAGAACTGCAATTCAAATTATAGTGTAAGTTTTAAAAAACTGTGTCAACATTAAACTTTGTGCAATTTATGCTAATGTTTACACTTGAGATTGTTTCTAATTAAGGGCATTGTAATAGGAAAGGAATAAATTCATACTACTCCAGACATCCAAGATTTAAATAATATTTGGAAACAACTACAATTTATTCAAATTGAATAGCCTTCCATTTTATATGTTGTTTTTAGAGTGTTTCTCTTGGAGGATGGCAGCCTTAAGATATGCAATGTGACCAGGTCGGATGCTGGATCCTACACTTGTGTAGCAATAAATCAATTCGGCAATGCAAAGAGCACTGGCAGTCTCATTGTAAAAGGTACTTTATGGTATTTATTTGGGTTTATTGTGTATTAAAATTACTTATTCCTATCCTACTGTGTTGCCATGCCAAACTTGTATCTTATGTGATACATTTTAGTTCAACGTTTAAGAGTTCTGCTACCATGCTGATTCGTGGGATGCACACTTTGTAGTATAATATGACAACTGTGAATTATTTGGTGATGAAAATGATGCCCATGTATAATATGGCAGATTTAAAACCCTGACATGAAATATTAAAATTTCACATACTTTAGTATATGATGCTACCAACATTTTGATAAAGCCACTAGATAGTCTTTTTATTGATTAAATGTTATTTGGGTACTGTTGTTTTGTGTGAACATTTTACATGTGCCTAAGATTATCAAATATGAAAAGTATTCATTTTCTGAATAACTCTTGGCATATAACCAAGGAAAGCTAGAGTTTCTTGATCTACTTAATAAGAAGTTTTTTTTTTTTCAAAGAGAAAGCATTAAAATCATAGTATCCATAGGAGTCATTATTATATTCCCTTTCCAGAAAATTGATAGCTCATACAATTTGGGAAAGTAAAGCTGCATATTCCACTTTTAAGAGTTTTCAGCTAATATCAATCCAAACGCACCTCCATTTATCACCAAGGGACATAATTAGTATCAGAACTGCCTGCTGACTGCTTTCACTAGTTTATTATATTTAATCTTAGCTCATAAAACTGCTTTGTTTATGGAAGCCATGTCACTCCTATCATTTCTTGCCTCCTGGATGATAAAATGACTGTCCTGTTAAAACATTGTGCCGCTAATTAAGCGCAAATGTGTAAATTCAGCAATTGTAGCCTTCTCATATTTTCTATTGAAATCTTATACT